CTTGATAAAGAAACTGAAAGTTAAACTGGGTTTCTTTTTCAGAAACAAATCCTGTCTAACCCTGAATGCTAGAAAACGCCTTGTATCTGTGACTTTCCTTCCCTCAATTGATTATGGTAACATTATTTACATGAACGCTCCTACAAGAACCCTGCAGATGTTGGATGCTGTCTATCATGGTGCACTAAGATTCATAACTGGCTGTGATTATCGTACCCACCACTGCACCCTGTATTCACTGGTTAACTGGACATCATTAACTTCACGCAGACTCTCCCATTGGTACATTTTTATCTTTAAATCACTTCTTGGTCTGCTGCCTTCATACATCTCCTCCTACATGTCTCTGCGTGAGTGCAGCTACGGAGTGCGCTCTCAGGACATTTTTACCTGCAGTGTTCCCTCAATGAGGACTGAACTAGGCAAAAGGGCCTTCTCCTATTCCGCTCCTGTTTCCTGGAATATCTTACAAAAAGATTTGAAGCTCTCGACCTTGACCTCTCTAAGTGTCTTTAAGAATCTGTTGGACACCTGGCAGGGACCAATGCAGACATGTTCCTGTTTTTAGTTTTCTACATTTGTCTTGGAATCTAGCTGTTTTTTTTTTTGTTTGTTTTGTTACCTTTTCCTTTTAGCCATCCTATTTGTTAAAAAAACAAAACAAAACAAAAAAACTGTAGTATGCTTTTTTATAACTGTTTATTGTTGTCCATTGTTGTCATCTTTCTGTGTTGAAATCAGGTCTCTCTTGTAAATGAGTCCTCGAGGCTCAATGGGATTTACCTGTATAAATAAAGGTTGATTGATTAACTGGAGGATTTAGCAAAAAGGAAAGTCTTAAGCCTAGTTTTAAAACTGGATAATGTGTCAGCCTCACGGACAGAGATTGGAAGTTGTTTCCACAAGAGAGGAGCCTGATAACTGAAAGATCTGCCTCCCATTCTGTTAGGAAAATATGGAACAATAAGATCTGTAATATAAGATGGAGCTAGGTTGTTGAGAGCTTTGTATGTTAGAAGTAAGATTTTGAATTCTATTCTGCACTTGACAGGGAGCCAATGGAGAGAAACTAAAACTGGAGAAATATGATCTCTCCTACTAACTATAGTTAGGGTCAGCTTGGGTTTCCTGAGCTGTCCCTTAGTTATGCTGCTATAGGCTTAGACTGCTGGAGGACAAACTGACCACAATTTTCACTCTACTACTGTCTTTACTTACTCTGCTCAACCTGTTTTGTATTTGTAATTATCTTTTCTATCCTTATCCTGTGTTTTTTTTGTCTTTCAGGTACACCTGGACCTATACCTGGACCTACCATTCTATGCTCGTCTGTCTCTCCTTCCTGTCCTCTCAACCAGCCGGTCAAAGCAGATGGCCGTTTGTCCTAAGCCTGGTTCTGCTGGAGTTTTCTTCCTTTTAAAAGGGAGTTTTTCCTTTTCACTGTTGCCACTGTGCTTGCTCAGGATGAGAGACTGCAATGAAGCCAAGATTCAACTTGTCTGCTGGATTCCTTAGATAGAGAACTTTACTAATTGGCTTTTATGTATGTGAAGGTTCCTGTAAAGTGCCCTGAGACAACTTTGTTGTGATTTGGCGCTATATAAATAAACTGAATTGAATTGAATTGAATCAGTCTGAGGTGCTGTATTCAGCTGTCTGATAAATAGCACCTTCTCAGAGTGGATCAAACAGTTTGCTGCTGACAACCAAAACCAGCTGTTCACATGATCAAGAAGGACCATCAGCCTAACAATGGATCATTAGCACCTGATGGCTGTTTACTATTCACAGGGGGTTGAGTGATACTAGCAATAACAGCATTGTAAGAGGGGGACAGCTGAACCCGGAGGCCTCCACCCCTGTTCAATGATGGATGATTTCTTTTCACAAAGATGGCCTCCTTTACTCCTCTTTCGCCGTGGGGCGTTTGATGCCACTGCGGTGAAACGCGTGTCGCTCCTGCCGCGAGCGGTGTCCTGCGCTGGGTTCGCTTTGAGATCTCGCATCTATGGCGACCATGAGCGGGCAAGCGCTGCGGAGCGGTGAGTGCGACTTCATCTACGCCGTGCCGTTTGAGGGAAGACTGCGAGCCCAGCGGGAGCACATGTTTTCTCTGGTGGGACGCGCGCCGCTCTCGCTGGAAGTGAGGTTCGTCACTGGGTTCGCTCAGCTGTCTCACGCTTATGCTGCCGTGAGCGGCCGAGCGCTGAGACGCGGTGGATGAAGGCTGCCCACGCCGCGGCGGCACGCGTTTGTTTCGATGCGGCGTGTGTCGCTCTCACTGAGAGCGAGGTCCTCCACCAAACCGACCTGCGGTCCCACATTTATGCCGATGTGGGCCTGTGAACACTGGGGAGCTGTGTGTGCACCATCATCAACGCAACGCTGTTTGGTTGAAGGCTGTTTGCGTCACGCGAGTGCGCGTTTGACACCGCTTGGGTGAGGATCGTGCAGCTCGGGTTGACAACGAGTTATTTTGCTTACCATTGTGTCATGTGAGTATCTCGTCATTTCTTGGAGCAACGGTGAGTTTAAAAAACCCTTATTTAAGGACACCGTCTCGTTATGTGTGGAGGGTGTGTGCGCAGCCGCTGTGAGTCCATCCGAGCTTACAGACTGACTAGAAACAGACACTTTGATCATTGAATGATGTTTTATTCAACATTTGTGTCATATTTACACACACCCTCCGCAGACCATCATTTTGAATCTTTTCCCCCATGAGCTCTGGGATTCGTTGGCCCAGGGCGCCGTCTGCTGGGGATCTCTGGGAAAAATGTTGGACACTCTGTTGCCGGGATGAAGAGGGCCGGTCTCTGACGGACGGGGCTGAAGCTCAGCGAGACGGCCATGGAATCGTCTTGCCACCGGCTCATTTCGTTTGGAGGGTGTGAGAGAGAGCCACTGTCAGATCATCTGAGCTGACAGACTGGCTAAAAATAAACACTTTCATCATTAAATGATGTTTTACTCCAAACTCGTGTCACCTTACACACATTCTCCGCCAAAAACCGTCATTTGCTTTGCCATTTGTTGTCCTAGAGCGCCATCTGTTGGCGGTCTCAGGGAAACGCTGAAAACTCCGTCCTCCGGCTGCGATGCGGGCCGGCAGACAGAAAAGAGGCGCACCAGTTGGGGATGACATCAGCTGCCCTGCAGAGGGAGCGTTTGTCTCCTCCCGCCTCCGAACATGTACGCCAACAGCGTAACGTGTTGTTCGCTGCGGCTGTCTGGAACGCATGCTGGTGAGCTCAGTCAGAGATCGGTGTCACCTTCTGGGTTACGCTAACCGGAGGTGCGGGACACTGGTCCACCTGGACATCTTGCTCCAAGAAAAGCCTCTGTCAGGCTCGGCTCCAAGGGGCACTGAGGGAAAAACCGCTCAGTGAAAACCCCTCTGCTCTGGTGATGGGCGCGGGCTGTGGAGACCGGCCCCCCAATCTACCAGGAAAGCCGGCTGTGGCCTCGTCCCATAGGACGTCCTGTTGGGAAAACGAGGCCAGATGGGGTCAGGACGGTGAGCCGGAAAGGAGCCTAGAAAAAAACCCTCCCGCCAGATCATCCGAACTTGCGGGAAAAGCGCGGGACGTAAAAAAGGGCCCCTTCATGTCAGCCACTCCTAGGTTACGCGAGCAACCCCAGAGGGCGCCGTCGGCCGGAGCGGTGTGATCGCCGATGCGAAACGAGGTGGGATGAGGTGAGCATTTGCTCAGCCCCCCTCCACCGACACTACGCTCTCCATGAGGGAATGAGCCGCGGGGGGCTGCTGCTGACGCTGCCTGTCCCGGAGGAACCATCCAATTCGCTCCGAGGGTCGGCGATAAAAGGAAAATTACAAGATGGCGTTGTCCAGAATGTAGCGACCTGTCACTGAGAAATACTCCTCGGCGCTTACCTTGAAACAAGACTGCTCGTTAGCTTCTCCTCGGGGAGGAGAGCTTACCGGGATGACCGGAGGTCGACGTGACGGGCCAAGCATTCTTAACAAAAGTTGGTCATCTACACAACTTTCCTTCTTCGTTCTTCTGACAGTGCTATTAGCTCGCTGAAGAAAAATGGGAGCCGATTTTTATGTAATTTATACGGACCAGGTGGGGCCCACACAGCAGGTGGGTGTGGACTAAATTTTTCAGTGTAATGCTTCGCATAACGGGATAAACCCATCAGCGACAGCCTTAAAGGGCGAAGCTTATACGAAATAGAACTGACTATAACATTCAACCTTTATTTATTAGTTGAAAAAATATGAAAACTCAACTATTTTAAAAGATAGAGCTGAAATTTGATGTGGTGGTACCTGACGGCTATGCTCTGAATTCAAATTTAAAAAAAATCCAAGATGGCTGCCAAATCTAATTTCAAATGGCTATAACTCAGAGTTAAGAGCTAGTCCACTTAAATTTGGTGTACTGGTAGCTGAGAACAATCCCTAACAGCCTCTGATTGTAAATCAAAAATCCAAGATGGCTGCCTGAGCTAAAAAGGAAAAATACTTTATATCAGCCATATTTAAAGATACAGTATTAAGCTGCAGTTTGGTGTGGTGGTAGCTGAGAGCAATGCCCAATAATAATGAATTCAAATAAAAATTGTAAGATGGCTAAATTTAACTGAGCTATTTTTATATATACAGATCAGAAATTAGGTGTGGTTATTATAGCTGAGAATGTTCCCCATCACATGTTGAATCCAAATTAAAAAAATCCAAGATGGCCACCATAGCTTAAAAGAAAACATGACTATAACTCATTGATTTTTTTTACCATATTGAACTAAAATTTGGTGTATTGCTAGCTGAGAGTGAACCCCAATACAAAGTACTGTCAAATCATAATTTAAAAAATGCCACAATGTGGCAGTCCCTGTCAAAGTTTTTCCAGGAACTTTCTAGTTTCTGTTGTTCTTATATGTTTTGGATGTTTTGTATATTTCATATGTTTAGTCCACACACACAGAGCCAGTGTAAGAGTTTTGATCATAAATATGATGAGAATACTTACAGATTTCTTTTTTTGATACTCAGTTAAAATGCTGTTGATCCGTTCTTTCTCCTGAAATAAAAAGAAAACAGTAAATGATCAAATTTTGCAGTCTGAATCCCAACATGCGTGTGAACCGGGTCAGAGCTGTACCATTTGGCTGGAGGGCCTGGATGGGAGGTTCTGCATCATCTCGTCCATCTCTTCAAACTTCTTGGCCATGGCCTGGACCTCAGCATGCAGCTCCTTGTACTCAGCGTACTGATCATTGAACACAGCCCTGTACTGGTCCCTCTCCTCATCTGAGCAGATGCTTGGGTACTTCCTGAAATGTTGATTATACAAGACTTTAGATACAGTCCTGCAGGTACTGTGCATCTCAAATAATTAGAATGTCCTCAAAAAGTGAATTCAATTATGTAGTTAAATTTAAGAAGTCCTGTTATGTAGAGTCATTCCACAAAAAGTGAATTATTTTAGGTGTTTATTACAGTAAATGTTGACGACTGTGGCTTAGAGCTTATGAAAACCCCAAATTTGGGTTTTCAGTAAATTAAATATTACAGCTGGAGTCAGTGTTTAAAGAGCCACTAAACAGGTCCAGAATTTGGACTTTGACTGTTCCAATTGTTGTGTTGAGTACCTCCTGAAAGAGAGAGACAAACTCCTGGACTAAAAGGTTTAGGTTCTTGATATAGAAATTATTATTTTAATGCTTTTATGTCAATCTAGACCTA